TAATGTAGAGCAAATTTAAATATGTCATATATATATCAGCAGCTTATCGAATTCTAAGTTCTTTTTTATTCACAGCTAAAACTGCATTTCATCCTATTTTGGATGATCGATCTTTCTTATATCATTTCTTACCATAGTTGTTTACATTAAACACTATTAATAATCAAAGTTAAGTTATAAAAATAACAATTTCTTCGAATTTATAACTAATATTGCTTTTCCAAATAATGAAAATAATATTTTAGATTAAAAATAAAGTCATCAAACTGTAAACAAAACGGTAGTGATATGTCAATTATATAAATAACTTGCTGTCCCGATATGCCCCACTAAAGTCGTTTTACTGAAATTAAAACTATTCAAAAAGTTTAATTCCAAATATTTTTTTTTAAAACCAGATTCTAAAAAAGGATAAAAAATACTGCCTAAAAAAATAAACTTTTTATAAATAAAGCAAGTTAGCAATACTTCAAGATAAATCTTTTGTCGTTGTATCGCTTAAGAAAATACGCAAACTATGTTTTTCGCAAACTTACTGATGCATTTTGGTACTTTTAATGCATTTTGATACTTCTAAAATTATTTTTTTTTTACAATAATGAAGCACAATAAAAAAGAAATTTTTTTTTAGCTGAGATATAAAGCTTCAGGCATAAATGTCCCGTTATGCCCCACTGACCCGATATGCCCCGCTCTACCCTAATTTTTCAATTTGTATTTATTTGAAAAATGTTTACTGACTTTTAAAATGTTGATTTACTTTTAAAATGTTTGATTTACTTTTAGTTGCCACAAAAATGTGGCAACTAAAAGTAAATCAAACTCGCCAGCAAATTAAGAGTTTATGGGCAGGCTAAGAGGATCTTTTTAAATAATTTTAATGAACTTTTAATCCGATAGAGTCTCACTAAGATTTCAGTACTACTAGGAAGCATTTAAACAAGAAAATTTTTTAATTGTTATTGCTTATTTCCTTTTTATAATGAGTTATAGTCACACACCAAAATTGAATAAATATTCGAAAAAAGCACTGATAAATTTATATGTTAAAAGAAATGAAGTCAAAATGAAACTAATATTAGCTACTAATAATATAGCTACGAATATTTATTGATAATAAACAGAATAAATACGAAATGTGAGCATGCAACCTCTTCTAATATTTTTAGAAAAAAAAAAATTAAAAACTTGCAACATAAAATAAATTAGCATTCTAAGATCTTGAGTGACTTACATGAACAATATATTTTAAAAACAAATTCTGTTAAAGATATTAAAACTGTGTTGTTTGAAATCCTTTTTAAATTAAAGGAAAAGCTCGATTCAATTGGGAAATATATTGGTTTATATAATTGGTTTTTAATTGTATTAAAAAAACAATAAATATAACTTAGTTTTTTTTAAATATTTTTGATACATTGTTGAACAGGGCTGGATTAAGCCATGTTGGTGCCCAAGGCACAAACCTACACGGATGCTCTTTCTGCCCCAGACCTCTTATTCTCCATTGGCCGCTCGTATGTTGAATGTTATATAAAAAAAAAAACTAACAAAGAAGACAGTTAACGCATATGTTTTTACAACTATCACTTATATAAAACCTACAAAAATTTCTACAATAAAATTAATAGTTAATTAGTTTAGTAATAATAATAGATAGTTTAGTAATAATAATAATAATAATAATAATTGACAAATAGTAATAATAATAGACAAAAATTAGCTTTTTTAATGGACGATTAAGTCAGAAACAGCACACATTTGCATTTTAAAATTCTTTTTTCTAGATTTAGATATTGCATGTTTTTTGAGTAAATTAAGCTAATTTGGACAACAAGTCTACCTCAATCATCCGCAGTGATAGGGAAGCTATTGTTGAACTACTTGGATTTTTTGTACGTTTCAAAATAGCGCTTAGTTGAATAGTTTCTTTCAATGTTAAAAATATGCGCAAAGCAAGTTTTACATTTAGATTCATTCGATGTTGTCTTTAATTATTACTTTGCATTTCAGATTTTGATCGAAATGTTGTAGCGCAGTATATAAATCATTGTTTAGATCTTCTTAAGAATTAATTATTTCATCACAACACTGAAATGTTTGTGGTACAACGATTAAAAAAATTAAAGATCGAACTACTATACCATTATATAAATTTCCTCGTCTACTCAACAAATGCTTTAAAAGTAGATATACAAAATTTTTCTCTAGATAACTCAGAGGCATCATCATAAATGACCATTGTCTTTTTTTTCGATTGCGGGTCAAAATTGATTTATAGCCCACACTTAGTTTCTTTTTCTTCAATTTCTTTAAATATTTTGAATTGTTTCTTCGAATATTTTAATTTGGTTCTTTAATTATTTTAAATTGGTTTTAAGATTCATCTAATTAGTCAGGTAGTGAAGAATACAATACCAACAAACTTTTTCAATTTCAAGCGCTTCTTTCGTAGAGCTTGACTGATCCAGTAAAAATGTAAAACAATAGTCAAGCATGAGAGCGAATTCTGATTCTTGGATCTTCTTTGGAATATTTTCTGTTTCTTTTCTAGTGTCCTTTTTGTGTGACTAGTCTTCTTGTAAACACTCTAACGCTTCTATAATCTAAGGATGAGCCTTTAGAATAGCTTCAGTTGTAAGAGTATGTGCTTCCCATCTGGTATCAAAAAAAAAACTTTACCATTGTTTTATTCACAAAGTATCTTTTCATAATCTTCCATCTGTAGGTTGAACTCTGAAAAAAAAGTATCTACCAGTTGCACTGGATGGAAAAAGATTACTGTCTCATTTACAAAATCTTGTCTGTCTATCAGATTTTATGAAAGGGCGGCATAGGGAATGTATATAGCAAAACTCTTTTCCTATAGAATGTATTACTGCATGTATTTGCAGAAACCAGAAATATTACCTGCATCATGGTAAAACTGACCTTTACATTTCGAAAAATCAATATTGAAACCTTCACGTAAGCGCTGTAACACTTGCTTAACAAAACTTTCACCTGTGTGGCTTTGCAGCACCAACAAAATCAAAAAACGCTCAATCTACCACATATTGAAGAACAACGCCTAAAAGGTAAAGTTGTCTGGCTGTCAAACAGCATTGCAAAGCAATATGAGAAAAGGAACCAAGTTTTATTGCACCAAAAAGGCCACATTTGATTACAAAACTCACTAACAAGAACTCTTAAACAATTTGACATCATGACAAGAATAAATTTATTATAATTATTAACAGGTTTTTATTATTTGTTATTAATGTTGCTTATTAATTGTTTACACTAGTTGTTGTTTTTAATTAAGTGTTTTTTTAATTACCAATCAACTTTTTTTTTCTTTTTATTTTGTTCTCATTACCATATATTATGCTATAAAGACCGTTATACATTAAATATCAGAACACGGAGACTCAAAGAGGATCGTAAGATCCTGTCACTGAGAACCGTTTAACAATGCAGTAAAAATATAACCAGTTAAATAATAACAATAAATGACGTTTAGAAATAAAATTTAAATCTAACCAGATATTTCAAAACATAAAATAACGTTTAACAACATAAAGAATATATACAAAAATATAACTTGAATATTTAATTCTTTTGAAATGTAGATTGAAATAATTTTTTTTATTTCAAATAAATATAGTTTCTTTAAATCCCAAAAACTTTTTATTTTATTTGTATATATCTAAAATTATACGAGATTGAAATGGTATATTTATGCTTCATAAAATATAAAACCTTTCTACAGAATTCCAATTTGACTTCATCTTATATTTCATGCAAATTTACTGATTAAAATTTAAATAAGTTCTAAACTTTTAACCACTAAGTATCAAAAGATTTTTTGACAATAAATGAATTCTATCTATATAATATATAAAGTTGAACTTAATAGTAGTAGTAGTAGTAGTAGTAGTAGTAGTAGTAGTAGTAGTAGTAGTAGTAGTAGTAGTAGTAGTAGTAATGTCCTTTCGAGCGTGTTGAACACTGAACTCTTGGCAGCCATTGCAACCGAGGTAATGGCAGCATAAATAATAATAGTCGAGATAGAAATAGTCGCAGCACCTTTTTTACAAGAAAATGTGAACGAGAGTGTATGCAAATATCTTACTTATTTAAACTTCAAACCATGTAATGTTAAAACATATATCAAGTTTTACAGTTTTACTTTCACTTGAAAATTGTAAAGCGGCAATATCTCCTTAATTTTGATATATAACATTTATTTCCGTTTTATAAAGTCTTTTGTTTGTCAGACAAGGGGTTAAGAGATCTAATGAGCTCTAAACATGCGAATAAAGTGCGGATTTTTTTTTTGCTCTGAAAGCAAAATGTTTAAATGAATCATTTTTCTACCATTTATTCAAAAAACATTGAAGTGAAGAAATAGAGGATAAACAGCTGAATAGAGGTTGATGTGAAACTGTGATGTGAGACCCGTATTTTATGGGTCATGACAGCTAGTTAATTATATTTTGATTTTACTTAAGCGCAAAGAAAATCTTTAAAATTTTATTATTTAATTTTTAATTTTAATTAAGATAAGTGACTTTTGTGGGGGCAACTTTGCTCCTATTATAAAAATATAAACATACAGAACTTTGTAGTTTTCTCCTTGTTCGAAAGTTAGTTGTCAAACACCCAATGACCCTGAATTATTGCAGTGGTTAGAGCGCACTGCAGTGATTAGAGCGCTTGCTTTATAAGCAAAAGATCCATGCTTTAAAGCGAGCTCTGAACATATTTAGCGTCATTAGTGAGGACGGAGGCGTGAACTTCCTATTTTAATGCTCTTCCGCGCTGCTCTGTGACGAGACCGTTAAGTCTTCTTGGGACACCTAAAACAAGAAATTAAAAAAAATTATGAATTATGTTTTTAAATTCACTAAAATTTAACGTATTGAAAAACTTAATTCAAATTTTTTTAGTGACTAAATGAACTTTTGAATAGCAAAGTGGACCCAAGTTAAGATGTAATTTTGACAGACCGTAAACTTTAGCCGTCACGATGATCATGTTTGCTTTTAGTTTCATTTTCCGTAAAATTGTTTTTTGTTAAAGAAATGAAAAAGTTTGTTTTGATTTTAACATTTTGTGTTGTTTTTTTAACTTACATGTTGACAAAAGAGGATTCATTTTCTTTTCATAAACCTTTGAGTAAGTAATACAATTTTAATTTTAATAAAAGTTACAGTAAGTTTATAAAACTTAAAAGCCTTTAATGTTAACAATTAATAATAATGATGTTAATAATAAATAATAACAACTCTAAAAATCATAAGTTTAACAATAATAATAACATTAATAATAACTATAATGATAAAAATGGTATTAATACCAATAAAAATAATGATATTAACAAAAATAATGATATTAATAAAAATAAAGGTAATAATTATGATAATAATAACAATAATATATTTAAATATATCTATATACACATTCAGACAAACATACATCTATAAATATATAAGTATTTAACTTTTACCTTAAGTCACAAATATAAATTTCCTACTTTCATTTAAGGAGTTTATAATTTATAAGTTTATATTAATATAATCTAAAAAGTAAAGTTGTCTTCATATTTTAAAGTAAAAAGCAATACTATTCTCATGTTTTACTTATTTGTCAGACTATGTAGCAACACTTCTTGCATGTTTTACAAATATTATAAAACAATACAAAAACAAAAATGCAATTAATTAAAAAAAGTTTCTAGTCATTATTATTGTGGATTTTTAAGAAACGATAAAACTTAATGTACTTCTGCATGATTTTAATTGTTTTAACTTTTAGATGACATTAAAATGTTGCTTAAATGTTGTTGAAAGAGATTTCATAAGGATATATAATGTAGTCAAAATATATTCAATTGTATATATATATATATATATATATATATATATATATATATATATATATATATATATATATATATATATATATAAACTAATTTAAAACATCAGATAATACGAATTCTCTCAATAATAAATAATTTATTTGAAATTTTCGCCGGATTATAGGCACCGGCATCATCAGCATATAATATAATATAATCAAATGAATATTATATTATATGCTGATGATGCCGGTGCCTATAATCCGGCAAAAATTTCAAATAAATTATTTAGTATTGAGAGAGTTTGTATTATCTGATGTTTTAAATTAGTTTATATATATATTTACTCTCGTACAAGATGCCAACATTTAAATAGTATTTCTACAATAGAAGTTTGACTTCTATGAGCGGAGTATCTAATGAGACCCGACTAAAGTAGACCGACGTGAGATAGAACGATTCCATTTGTCATAATTGTTTTTGAAACGATCAACTGAATTCGCAGCAACTACCAAAGCAGGCAAAGCGTTCCATGATGACACCACTTGGTTTCTAAAGAAGTTATGTCTTTCGGTTTCTAAAGAAGTTATGTCTTTGAGAGTTTTTCGATAATTCTCAATCAATTTTATGCTTGGCACCACGAAGATGACCTGCAGGACCATCACATAGGAGTGCATATGGTCTGTTAATCTGCTGTTGCCAGTTAACAATACTTAATTTTTTATAAATTTTAAAAAATTGAATTACATCTCCTCTTGTTCTACGTTCAGCTAATGAGCTGAGACCAAGATATGCTAATCGTTTCTTGTTATTCAAGCTGCGAAATTGTGGAATGAGTTTGGTAGCTCTTCGTTGGACCGACACTAACTTTTTAATGTCCTTTAGAAGAAAAGGGCACCAAATTGGTGCACAGTACTCCAGTATCGGTCTTACATATGCTGTATAGAGCTTCACGAACATAGTTGGATTCCATTTTTTAAAAGTTCTTTTGAGTATCTCAAGTATAGAATTAGCTTGAGAGTGGCATCACTAATCTGATCTGACCATTTCAGTTTATTATGTATCAGAACACCCAATGTTCTTTTAACGGATACATCTTCAATAGGAATTTGACTGCCATTTTTATCTAACATTGTCAAGGGGATATTGATGTCTGTGGAACCACCACAGAACTTTAGAACCTTGCATTTATTTATGCTAAGTTCCATGCACCAAAGTCTTGACCAATTACATATCATATCAATATCATTTTGAACTAAAGCCAAGTCCGTAACTGTTTTTATTTTGGCAACCAACTGGCTATCATCAGCAAAGAGTTTGCAATTATTTTTGACTAATTCTGGCATGTCGTTAATAAAGATCAAAAAAAGAAGAGGTCCTATGACTGATCCTTGAGGTACACCACTATGGACATCCTTCCATTCGGAAGAGAAATTTCCTAGAACAACCCGCTGTTTCCTATTTTCAAGAAAGTCTTTGAGCCAGGCAAGAATATTATTGCCAAAACCATAGCCAGCCAGTTAGTGATAAAGCAGAAGATGTGATACACAATCAAAAGCTTTGGCAAATTCTAACAAAATGAGCAATGCAGCACAGTTGTCACTTAAAGCTTTGGTAATAATATCCATTACTTCAAGAAGATTTGTGACACACGATCTAGATTTGACAAAACCGTGTTGATGGCAAGATAATAGATTATGCTTAACTAGGTGTTCAGTCATGACATCACGCATATATATATATATATATATATATATATATATATATATATATATATATATATATATATGTATATATATATATATATATATATATATATATATATTTAAAATATTTATATAATATATGTATATTTAAATATATATATATATATATATATATATATATATATATATATATATATATATATATATATATATATATATGTATATATATATATATATATATATATATATATATATATATACATACATACATACATACATACATACATACATACATACATACATACATACATACATACATACATACATACATACATACATACATACATACATACATACATACATACATACATACATATATGCATACATACATACATACATACATACATACATACATACATACATACATACATACATACATACATACATACATACATACATACATACATACATACATACATATATACATAATTATACATAAAATTTATATATCAATTATAAAAATTTTCTTTTACAAAAAAATTTTCTTAAATATATTTGTCTTGAAAACTTGCTGATTTTGATCAACACACGAAAGACTTTCTTTATATACTAGCTTGAATAATAAGGATAAATGTAACTTTCAGAAATATTTTAAAAATTAAAGAGAAAAGGTTTAGAATTATTTTAGGATTCTTTATTTCATAAATTATTATATATTTTTAAAATGTACACATTTAATAAATATATGTATTTATTTAATTATTAAATGATTAAGTTGTATGCTTGTAATTACTACATGTGTAAATTGTGTATTTTTTATTTTTAGTTTTAAGCAATAAAAGTACCCATGATAAGTTGAAAGATTCTGGAGATGAGCAGACCTTGGAAAAGAGTGATCCAGGCATGTCAGTCAAACATATACTAAATTTTCAGTTTGTTGAAAGTCAAACAAAATCTATCAATCAAACAGAGCACTCTGGTAATCTAAAAAAAAGATTTCCGCAAGCTATTATTGCTGGAGTTAAGAAATGCGGAACAAGAGCGTTACTCTCCTTTTTAGCCAAACATCCTCATGTTCGGTCAGCCGGTAAAGAGATACATTTTTTTGATAAGGATGATAATTACAACAAAGGATTAGATTATTATCTAGCTGAAATGCCTTTTTCTTATGAAAACGAAGTAACTATTGAGAAGACGCCTGGGTATTTTATTAATCCAAATGCACCAGAGAGAATATATAATTTATCACCATTTATTAAACTTATATTTATTTTTCGAGATCCTGTAGAAAGAGCAATTTCTGATTTTGCTCAGACTTTAGCGAAATCAGCTGATGAAGTAAAAGAAATAGAAAAGCGTATTTTTATAGATGGTTCTATTCCTAAGAAAATTAACATAAATAGTAGCCTAATAAAAATTGGACTTTATGCAGAACATCTACAAAGATGGCTAAAATTTTTTCCCATGAAGCAAATGTATTTTGCAAATGGTGATGAGTTTATCAAAAATCCTGCATTAGAAATGAAGGAAATTCAAAAGTTTTTGAATATTCCTTTGGTTATTAATAAAAGTTCTTTTGTATATAACCGAACTAAAGGTTTTTATTGTCTTCGTGTTGAAAAGGAAGAAGAAGGCTGTTTAGGTGAAACTAAAGGTCGAAAACACCCTTATGTAAAAAAAAGTACAAAAATAAAAATGCTAAAATTTTTTAAATCTTACAATAAACAGTTTTTTTCTATAATCAATAAGAACTTTGGCTGGATATCATGAATGAAATGGATATCGTTTCAACAAACTTTTTGTTTTTGAACATTAAAAATAAAAAAAAAAAAAAGTTTTTGAACATTAAAAATAAAAAAGTAAAAAGATTCAAATCTCCTACTGGTTCTGAATGTGAAAATGGAATCATTAAGTGTTTCAGATAAAATAATGGAAGCAATATGTTTATTTCAGAATAAAAATGGGTTAAACACGTTATCTCCTGCAAATCATGAAGTTTTAATAAACCTCTAGATAATAATAGTTATATAATAATTGTTGATTCTCTTAATGACGGATATAATAAATCTTTGCATATTTTATTTCCCTAAAGTTATCTAATGATTTTTTAAAATTTTAGTATAGAGTTATCATTATTTATTATCTCCATTTTATATTTTTTGTTATTTAATGTTAATATTAAATAACAAAAGGTATTTAATGGTAATTTTTACCTAAGAGTGGTATTGCTTATATACTCTACTTGATGCTGTTTCTTACCCTCACTTAAAACTAGAAGCCTTGGCAACTCTTTTAAAAACTAATCAAATCAAAGGGTATTTTTTATTAAACACATAAGGCATTAAATTAATCTAGAAAGTAAATGTTTTGTGTTTGGTTTTTGTTACATAATACCACTCATATAATGTTTTTTATAATATGCAAACCTTTTGAAGCTTTGTAATTTATTATATTTATTATAATGTATAGCTATTTTTGTTCTACAATTAACTTATTTTTCAAAATATTTTTTGTATCTTTTACATTTCATTAACCTAATGAAATACATTGTATAGACAATTGTTTGTATTGTATAGACAATTGTATTGTATAGACAATTGTATTGTATAGACAATTGTTTGTATTGTATAGACAATTGTTTGTTTAAAGCTTTCTAAATTTAAAATTTTTGAGATATTTATTATTTTGATATCTTTCATTTTTGAAGAATATTTTTTTTGAATTTATTTTAATACTAGGAAGATTTTTTATTTACCTTAAAAAGATCATGTTTTCATTTTTTGTATTTATTTTTATAATTACGGTCCCGCATTGCAAAAATTTCTTCAGATAAGGTGTCTTTTATAGATAATATATCTTTTGTTTAAGTATTTTAAAAGACGATGATTAAAACGCTTGTTTTATTTAAACCTGAATATTACTGTTTTTAGATGGTTGCTCATTATTACTGCACAATATAAAAATATTTTTCATATCATTATAATAAAAGTTAACAAAATGTTTACGTTTTTAAACTTGTTTTCAATTATGTTGTAAAGTAGAATTTTTTGTCTCGAGGAAATCAGTATGAAATGACTTTAAAAAACGGCTTTAAAAAGTTGTGCAGTAAAGGTTAAAACTAATAAGTCACTTGATAAATAATATTTTAATAATAACCATTGAATTTTTAAAAAACATAATGCTAGATTTCGTATTTTATAACGGGTTATTACCGTAAAGGTGAGTTTCCACTCATCCGTTTTTCTACGGGAAAGGGAACGGAAAAATTATCACGTGAGCATGCGCAGTTTTCTTTCAGACAAATAAAAACTTTTATTGCGCATGCTCACGTGATTATTTTTTTCTTTCCTATCCCGTTCCCGTTGAAAAACGGATGAGTGGAAACTCGCCTTTATGTTTAACGTGTGGTTGAACATAGCGGTAATTACCTGTTATAAAATACAAAACACCAGAAGCAGATATTAAAGTTTGTAATTTTTTATGCTGCTGTATAACTTCATCGATTTAGATGGCTCGATAATACAGTTACATCATCAATCCACTAACAATGAAGATGAAAAAAAAAAAACAAAGCAAAGTTTACAAAAAAGCTTAAGGAAACTTCAAACATGAAATATTTAAATAATATTATCCATTCAGTTATATAATAATAACTTAACAATTCAATACTTTCTAACTAAACAAACATCATTTATTCATTATACTTGTTATTATATATTACTCGTTAGGTTGACGAGTATACGTTATACTCGTTACGTTAGTGAGTATACGTTATACTCGTTACGTTAACAAGTATACGTTATACTCGTTACGTTAACGTTAACAAAAATATAGTTTACAAGTGTAAGATTAATGACAAGTTTGAAGAAAATATTAAACTGGTAAACATACTCTCATAATATTAACCAAAGTTTATGATTCAAAAACCAAAGTTTATTATTTTTTTACTTTTAATAAACTAAATAGGTACTACGAGTTTTCTCTCACAAATTTTGTAAGTTTATTGCATTTGAACCAGCTAGAAATATCTTTGAGTTCTTCATTCATAGTAGTATAAAGTGTGTTAATATTGTTATCAGATAAAAATAAATTAGCATCATCCACAAACATAACACTTAAAAGATTAAAAGCTTTATGCAAATCATTGATGTCGATTAAAAAAAAAGAGGCCCAAAAATTGATCCTTGCGGATCACCACATGAAATATCTAAAACATTTTTTTGATAAGGATCGTTAAAAGAAATAAATTGTTTTCGGTTTGTTAAATAACTTTTAATGTAGCTCTAGGATTATAAAACACTAAAAATAAAAATAATGTTGTCTTATTTAAAATTTGTTCTATATTCAGAAAATATATATCTTTTAAACTCAATATTATGAGTAATATCCATTCTTCTAGGGTACAGTCTTTTCAGCTTCTATAGCAACGGCGAGTTCCTGTCTTTTTAGTCAGGTTTTTAGTTGGTGTACATGGTTCAAAATTTAAACGAAGCATTTAGTTTAATAATTTTGTAAAGAGGCCCTAAAGATGTATTTGTTTGCAAAGAAGTTTTAGATATTGGTGCATCTTCAGCTGTTATTTATTTCAATGATGGAATGTCCAATTTTTCAAAAGCTTTCAAGATTCTAAATCTCAAATTTGGATATTATGGTTCGTGTAAAATAGACAACCACCGTCAGTGCTATTTAAAAAGAAAATCTTCTGAAGCTTTTAAAAAAGACAAAAAAATGCTGAGAGGTGTCAAAAAAGGATTTAGTAATAAAGAAAAGGATGTTGAAGGTGGAAATTTTAATTCTCCAGGAAAATATTAGAAAATGTTATTATATTTTTTTAATGTGTTTTTTACAGAATTGTTTTTTTCGATATTGCACCAAACTTAAAATAGGTTTTCTTAAAAAGTATAAAAGCAATCGATTTGAAATTTTCAGGGTGCGCTCCGTAACTATTACTTGACGGACTGTAGCAGAATTACACAAAACTAATGAGATTATTTTAAGTTTGGAATAATTATCTTAAATAAAAAATTAATTTTTATTTTGCTTTCATTGGTTTTATCCGCTATTTTTGATGTGCAAATTTTTATCAAAAAATTCTGCTACGGTCCCTTTGTGTTTGAATCATAAAGATTTTTTGAAATTTTTAGCCTCATTGAATGTATATTTTAAGAGTTATAAAGTTTTAAAAGTTTGTTAAATTATACATATTTTTTGCTGACTCATCAAAATAAAAAGTTTTTTTATAATTTTTTGGAGTGTATTTGTTATTAAAAATGATTGTTCTTTTTATTTAAAATTATTTGGAAACGTTTATCATTAAAGTGCAGAAGTTTTTTTTTTAACCATAGAGCCACCTTAAAAATTACGTCATTCACTTCATCATATATAAGTTTATGAATCAAAAAACCATAGTTTACTCCTTCAAGATTTGATACAGTATTAAAAGTATTAAACAGTATTAAAAGCATCTGATAAAAGCATGCTTTTAATAATCTAAAAAAATACCTAAAGCGAATGGTAAATTTTTGAAAGAGTTAGAGATTTCACGGACAAATTGGAAGATTGCGTGCTCAAACCAAACTAATTTTTATAAAAAAAATTCTTCTCCTTAATATAAGTATATAATCTATTGTAAATAATTTTTTCTAAGATTTTTGAAAATGTTGATAAAATAGAGATAGGCCGGTAGTACATATGTAAGCTCTGTCTTCTTTTTTGTAGACTGGGATTATCTTGGCTATTTTTAACTGATCAGGAAAAATCCCTTGTTATATTGACGCTTTGAAAACTTTAAAGAAGATATCTTTTAATTGTTCAAAGCATTTTCAGGTTATGTTTCCGTTTATTTCATAAGCTCCAGTAGCTTTGTTTTTTTAATAGATTTAAATGACACTTGAAACTCCTTAAATCATAGTTCAGAAGATAATTCATCGAAGCAAATGCAATCATCCATTGGTATTAAAAAGTTATTCAACACAACTTGGGTATTAGGAATTTTATTTGTCAGTTTGGAACCGATGTCAATGAAGAATTTGTTGAACTTATGAGCTATTAATCTAGGTTCAAAAACATCTTTGTTATCCACTCTAATCACCTGCGGTAGAGAACCTGAGCAAGTTTTTTGTTTTTAAACAATTTCTCTTCTGAGAGAAATTGGTGAGAAAAAATTCTTATTTTAAGAATATAAATTCTTGATACAATAAAAAAAAAATATTTAAGAAAAAAAATCTTATCTTAAGAATAAAAGTTTTATAAAAGATAAGTCTTTTTTGTCATGTTTTAAGACTTTTTTACTTAAAACAAGAATCGTGGATTTTACTTTGTAATATTTTCCAAGTGCGTTTAGAGTCGTTCTTAACATTTTAAATTAATTTTGTGTAGTAATTCTTTTTTAAGTTTTTACGAGTTTTTTTAAATAGTTATTTTTAATCTTTGTTTAATTTTTTATTTAAAGGTGTTTTTATTTTTAGTTAATTTATATTTGTATTTTGCTTGATCTTAAATGATTTTATATATTAAATATTGTTCAAAAATCTAACACTTCTACACTTTTCCTTTATACACAGCTATCTATTAACCCTAATATAGCATTGGCAAGCACCCATAAAACTAAATTAAGTTCTCTCTATAGACGGCAGAAACTCGTTTCCAAAATTATTATTTATAAAGACATGCTTATTCATTAAGGATTTTACTTACTTATGGATTGCAAATCCATTACTAAAACAAATAAATGGTTTAAACATTTACCAAATCAATATATATCAATATATTTTGTTTATGTTCAAACATAAAATCGGAGCTGTTCCTTAATATATAAATAACTTTTTTTAATACTAATTCAAATAAATTTGTCAGTTGGCATAGCAACTGGAAATGTTACAGTACTCTTTTAAAAAAAGAAAATTATCCTAATGCTCTAAAGCACATCGAGGTCCTTACATGTAAAACAAATTATTACCAAAAAAGTCCTCAATATCTCTTCTGAAAAATATAAATTCCTTAAAAGCTAATCTAAAAAATACCATTTTACATACAAGCAGTTATATGGAAATTTTCTAATATCATATGAGTAATTAAAATATCAAAAATTTGTCCAAAAAAATCCAAAAATTAAATATATAACCAAGTATGTATATGCATATATATAAGTTATGTATATGTTAAGCTTCATGTTTAATTACACAACTAATTATATTGAAAAATATAACGTCGTGAATAAAATAGTTATCTCATGAAATTAATTAAAAAAACGGTTTTCGATGACAAGACTTCACACAGCTTTCTGCGAGTTCCCTTTGACTACATACTACCCTCTACCTTCGACTACACACTACCCTTTACCCTTGACTTTCTTACTAAATTTTTTTTTTTCCAAGACTTTTTTTGTTTTCTCAAAATATAAATTAAAAAAAAAAAAAAAAAGAGTTTAACAGACAAAGATTTTCATTGGCTTATAAATGATTTTCGAACAAAGGCTCCCCTTTACTGTAATTATATAGACAAGTTACTAATATTTTGAAAAAGCAGAAAAATCCTGTTTAGCATTTTATGCAAATCCAACAACTAATCAAATTGATCAATAAAACTACGTAATGTTTACAACTTTCAAAGAACTTTAAGGAAAAAGATAATGGCTACTAGCAAAGTTTTGCATTTTTTAAATACTAAATTTTTTGAACTGTTTCAAATTGGTTATTATTAGTTCAGACCTGTTAAAATCCAAACT